CCCGACCCCCGTATTTCTATTCCTTGGCCACTATGAGCTCCGTGTTTTGGCACTGGGATTGGCATGGCGCCGGTTGGACTTGCTTTCCCCGGCCCGTGCCGGGTCATGCCGTGCCGACAGGGAGGACGTGGGCTCTGCGGGACAGGAGCAGAGCGAAGCTTTTGGGAGCAGTAGTGCAGGTCCCCTGGTGCGGTTCTGGCTGGGACGTGGGCTGGAGACCCCCAGGATGGGCACCAGCCCCCCTCCTTCCACCCCGGGGACATCCCTCGTCCCCCAAAATAGCACCACAAATTGCCCAGCGCAGCCCACGGGGGGCCTGTGGCAAAAGCTGCTTTTTCTTTCAAAACAACCCGAGGAGGGTCCGGTGCCAAGGCAAGGGCTGCGAGGAGCCCAGGAGATTTATCGCTGAGGAAATACTTTCTCCAGCAAGGGCCGACGGCCGCAGCAGTAACAATGGGAGATTCGCAACGTGAACAAAGCTGATTTCGTTCTTCTTTTTATCAATGCGTTTTCCTTGCGGAGCCTCCCTTCCTGGAAGTGGGAGATGCAGCTTCCCCCATGCGCTGGCCGTGTAATCAGCAGGAATGGCCATATCCTGGCTGGGAAGCAAGCTGTGAAATGCTGTCGCCCGCTGTGATTTATGAGCCCGTGGCAGCGGCCAGCGGCGGGGCTGGCCCGGGGACAAGGTGCCAGGGCGCGTGCAATATCCACGTATTCTTTCTCCTCCTCACTGGGTCCCCGGGGAGCCGCCAGAGGAAGTTAATGGATTAGACACACACGTTCCACTTGATTTTTATTTTTTATTGCCCTGTCTTTCCAAATGCCTTTAGCAGACGCGCCAGCACAATGGAGCCGGGCGGTGAGCATCCCGGCCGGGCAGGCAGCAGGGCAGCAGCCTGCCTGGAAAGGTCAATACAGAGAGTGTTTGCCTGGGGACATGGGGACAGCCTGTCCTGAGCAGGTATAGTCCTGCCCCGGCGGGGAGGGCTCGCAGGGTCAGCGCTCAGCACCAGCTCATTGCTGCGGAGGGGCAGAGTTAAGGTGACTCCAGCTCCGCCGCAGCCAGCGCTGACCGACAACCTTGAGGCATCGCAGCACCTTGCCCACAGGGTTATTGGCACCCATCGGAGGCAGCCGGCGCCGAGCAGGTCTCTCGCTGTGCCCAGAGCCGTAACGTCCTTCCTGGGCCGCTCACACCTGTGATAGCGGATGGTTTTGTTCCCGGGCTCACACTCCTGCCATGCTGCATTATGCAATCCTCACCCGATACCGGGAATATGAAATAATTATTCTAAGTGATCAGATTTTAATTATGCAACACAGAGGATGATTATTGTACGCCAAATTGGTGCCGAGTGCTTAGTTATGTATATGCCAAATTTAGTCTATACTATTATACCCAGTGGGTGGCCGTACACAATCAGGAAGTAATTAGTTTTGCTGGAGGTTGTTCGCCTGCCTGGTTTGCTGTGCTGTCTGGGGAGCGTCTTGCTGCGCTCTGTGAATACCGCGGGCTTTGAGTTCAATACCGTCTTTTTGTGACAAGCTAATAAGCTGTCTGCATGGCGGCCTGTAATTAGCGCTGTCGATATTCATTTGGAAATGGAGACCGCGCTGAGCGGCTCCACCGACGGCGCTTCCCTTTGTCGAGGCTCTCGGCTGGTCCCTCCTCGCCTCTGAGGAGCTGCGATGGGCACGGAGGGATGCAGCTCATCCTGCTGCATGGACGGGGCAGGGATGAGGGAGGATGGGGATGCGGCCGGGTGTCGGATACGCTCGCGTGTACGCAGCCCCCTCGGGTCCCCACTGAGGAAAGCACCCCTCCGCGAGGGGGTCGAGCCCCCAAGACTGAAACCTGCCCACCACCCACACTGCGCCAGCCTGGCCCCCGTCCCTTGTAGGGGAGCTGCCGTCGGCCCTGGACGTGGGCTGTCCTGGTGTCTGTCCTGCGGCACTGGCCGGGAAGGCTGAGCCGGTGTGGGGTGGGGGTGCAGGGGAGAGGGGGACGTGCAGGGGGCTCTGGCTGGGGTGGCCATCCCCTCCCCAGAGCCGTGGGCTGCTCTCCCCGGGGAGCCCTGAGCATCGCGGGGCAGTGCCAAGGTACCGCGTGGTCACATCTTTCCAAGGTGGCCTGATCCTGTGGGGTCCGGGCTTGTCTGTTGGGGTCTCACATGCAAAATTGCTGGGGGGCCCAGGGCTGTGTTGGTTGGGAGGTCACCGGGGCCACCGGGGCATCGCCCCCCCCGGGGTGCTGTTTGCAGCCGGTCAGTGTCACGGGGCACCGGGAACCAACCGCCTCTGCAGGAATGGCCTGGATCTGCCGGCAGGAATTGTCTGAAGTATGGAGCAACTTTTACCTCTGTTACACAAAGGAAACTTTCCTCCTCTTTTTGTTGGAGATGCTCACTCCATTGAGATGATTGGCATACTGGAGAGCTGAGAAACTAAATTGTTTATACACTAATGAATAGAAGCTTGATTGCAAGATCCTGTTTGGAAAATTATAGTGCTGAATTGAAGCTGTACAATTACATCCAAAATGCTGCATATTCATTTCATCTGCTTTGCATAGAGATTAACAAGCGAGCCCTAAAGCAGACTCTGAAATTAAAGCTAACACCAGATTTAGTCACAGGTTACAAACTAAATGGCATTGTTTGATGGATATGAATCTTTACCACCTGCCTGCCTGATGATTGCTAGCAGCTTACCAGACAGCAAAGGAAAAAGTTTCTTCCCATGAAGGAAGCATAATAAGACGTTGGGCTGGAAGTGCCCCCTCCCGGCGTGGGCGGCCCCCCCAGGCAGATGTCTGCAGTGGGCCTGGGGAAAGGGCTCCCAGCTCCGTCGTGCTGGAAGCTGCACCCGCTCTGTGGAGGGATGGAGGGGGGCCCCGAGACCCCCCCAGAGGTCCTGGGTGCTGCGTCCATCCAACCCCCAGGGCTGGGCTGGGTCCCTCCAGCCAGGGCCACCCTCCCCGGTCTGTTTGGGAGATGGTCTTGCAGGGTCCCCATCTGTCCTGGAGCCTCTGTGCTGAACCACCCATGGGTTCCTTCCCCTCCTTGGAGCAGTCAGGGTGCTGTGGAGGCGGGGGGGGCTCTTGCCCCTCTTTGCCACAGGCAGTCCCTGTGGGCTGGTCCCATCCCATCCCGCACCATCGGGCTTTGCTGCCTGCCTGCGATCTACCTCCTCCATCTGCTCCCACCCTGCGTGCCAGGGCTGAGCTCGGTTTGGGGGCCAGGATTTATTTGGGGAGTAGAACCAAGGGGGTGCGCGGGGAGCGGGGTCCTGCCCGGGGGCTGCACAGCCTGGCGAGGGCTGTGGTGGGCGGCAGCATTGGGTGCCATGCAGCATGATGTGGGGGTTGCTTTGGAAATGGGTCCTGTCCCCGGCCGAGGAACCTGTCCTCCTGCTGTCACCGGCCCTGCAAAGGGGAGCAGATGGGGCTGTGGCCAGGCAAGCAGCAGGCTGGTGGCTCAGGGCAGCCTTGGATCCCAGCAGCGATCTTTCTTCTTTGGGAATACCCAGGGGGGTCCCCAGTCTGCACCTGGGGACGGCGGCCTGGAGCTCCCCGCATGTGGGCGCCGGTGGGGCAGAGACCACAACACTTGCTCTGCAAATTGGACACCTTTATTTTTTTTTTTTCTTTAAAAGTCAGTTACCAAACTGCGGCGTACTTTATTCCTACGGACGGGCTGGTCTGTCTCTACCGCACTACGGGACAGCCCAGCCGCAGCTTTACAAGCCCCCAGGCCCAGTCCCCAGTGGTGGTGCCACCAGCCCCCACCCGGCTCCTCCCGGCCAGCTCCGGCATCGCCACGGCTGGCTCTGGGGTGCGTGTCCCATCACCCCCCATCTCCCACCGTGGGAGCAGCGCTGTGCTGGGAACAGGCAGCACGACGGCTGCTCCGAATCTCCATTTCTGCTTGACACTTCCCCAACTCGACCCTCCAACACTTTCCCAACGCCCTCTCTCAAACAACCGAGGTGGATGAGCATCTCCTCGGGTCCCTCCCCAAAACCTGCCTGGGCTGAAGGGACACGCAGCACCGCCGAAGCCTCACCTCGGCCCTTCACCCGGGGCTAGGTTTCTTCCTTAAACCTCAACTCATCCCAGGACACTCACACTTCTGAGACCAAACCATGCTGTAACACCCTAAAATCAACACGACGGAGCAGCCTCCTGCCTGCAGCCACCAGCAGCTCGGAGAGGCACGGGGGGGGGCTCTCCCTGACCCCAAGACATGGGGTGCACCCTCCCTTTGGGGGGGTCACCTGCTGCAGCAGCGGGCTCCCAGGGCCAGCCCTGCACCCAATTAGTGGCCTCTGGGGGGGTGGCCCCAGCCCGCGTGGGCAGTGGGTGCTGGGGTGGGGGGAAAAGGCACCTGTGGAGGGAGGCAGTGGTGGCTTTGCCACGTGGGGACGTGGCGGTGGGGCTGCCGTCCCCAAAAGCAGGGCTGGGCTGGGCGCAGCGTGATGCTGGTGGACGCAGGCTGCCCTGGAGAAACCCGGCTCGTGGGAACCTGGCACCCACCTCAGGGAGCCGGGCAGGGGAATGGCACCGCAGCTGCACCACACGGCCCCGCTCGCACCGCTACCATGGGTGGCAACCGATGAAACGGGTTAGTGACGGCAGCCTCACGTCTGGGCGTTCGCAGCCCTGCGCCCTGCTGTGCCCCTGCTTGGGGGTTCCCGTCGTTCAACTCCCGGGGATGCTTCTGCCGTGGAGCATCCCATGGGGAATAACCAGCTGGGTGGGAACCTCCTTGGAGCAAGTCAAACCAGCGCCAGCACGCCCTGGCTTTCAGCCTGTCTGCCAGCTCTTTGCCCCCCCTTGAGCTGCCCAGCGGGCGATGGCACGCATCCTGCCAGGGGCTGGGAAAGGCACCCGTCTGCTGTGGGAAGGATGGGGCTGGCGCAGGGCTGCTTGGAGCCGCCCGGCCAGCAGAAGGGATGTAGTGACAAACGTGAAACGTGCCTCTGCCAGGCGGCAGCGGAGGCAGGGACCCCATGCAGCACCCCTGGCTGCGTGAGAAGGGACGGGATGGGCAGCAGACGGGAGGACGGGGCAGCAGGAAGGCAGTGTGATCTGGTGCAGACCGAGGGCAGGGGCTGGCCAGGTCGCATCCTGCCTGGCAGTCCCGTATGTGGCGAGGGGAGCTGCTGCACGGGACAGGGACAGCACAGGGACCTGCCTCCCAGCCTGGGCACAGGGGGTCCCAGCCCCAGCGTGGGCTGGTGGATCAGTGTGGACGGAGATGCTGGGACTGCCTGCCAGCCAGCTGCCACCTACTGCAGTCCCACTAAGAAGGGACCCTGCTGGGCCCCACAGCAGTGTCCAGCTCTGGTTCAAGCAGCTCATCTTCAGAGAAGCTGATGTGCAAGCAGGTGTCATCCGCAGGGGAGAAGGGCAGCGTGCTGTCCGTGGGGCTGGCCAGGGCAGCTAAGTCCTTCGCCAGGGCCTCGCTGGCTGCAGGGTCGCGGATGTTGGCCAGGGGGGACATCTGCCCGCTCTCTCCAGTCCTGTCCTTGCCCAGAGCACGCTGGCAGGTCCCAGCAGGAACGGGCTCTGTGCCGGAGGCAGTGCTCCGTGCAGGAGTCCTTGCCTCGGGGTCCAAGAAGGTGAGCGAGCCGGCAGCAATGCTGGTGAGGCTGGAGGCGCTGGGGCTGGGCAAGCTCATATGGGCAGTGCTCTCGGGCTTCACCTCCACTTCCAGGCTCGGGGAGGTCTTGCTTGACCTTTTGCGTAGGATGGGCGGTGGCGGGTTGAGCTTGGGAATGGGCTGCTGCCGCCTGGGAAGCAAAAGCAGAGAGAGGAGGTGATGGGCAAGTACTTACCTGCACAGGGGGGCTTGGGCTGGCTGCCCCAGGCTCTCCAAATGACCTTTGCTGGGTCCCATCAGTGCAACCCATCACCTACAAACACTGGAGCTGGGGCGAGGTGTTGCGGCAATGACCGTTTCGCAGCAGGGGGACAGGCACAGGGCAGGCAGCGACCCCGTGGCGAGACAAGGTGGGTTCCTTGCCAGGAACCTAAACCAGTGCCTGGTCCCTGGACTGGCCAGCCCTTGTGTAGGGTTCGGCGTTCGGAAGATCTCGCGATGTCACGGAAAGTTAGAGGGTTAGTCGCAGCCTTATGATGTGTCTGTAATCCCACCTACCCTTGTTAGTATAAAAGGAATTGACTGCGCAATAAAAGGCGGAAGTTGGCGCTCACACTGTGTGTGTTATCTGTCTCTTTCCCTGGTCTGGGGGGTGATCAGTGATCTAATCGTGGCACCTTGATATGCGGCGAACGCTACACCCTTGCCCTGAGTTCCCAGAACATAGCCCTTCCTCCCCAGCCCCTGTTGCAGGTTCTGCTGCCGTGAGCCCTCCGAAACGTGGCCTGTGCCGTGGGAGCCCTGCCGGGGCAGCAAGTGGGGAGCGGGAGGTTCTGCTCGGGGTGTTCCCATTCCAGCCGGCGGGAGACGGAGGTGGCACATCCTACCTATCCTCGTCCCCTCTGTCCGTGTCGTCCACCTTCTGCCGGCTGCTCCCGTTGAGCAGAGTGAACTCGCTGACCTCGGAGCCCTCCACGCGCCGGCTGAGCCCATCCTGCCCCTCCAGCACAGCCAGGCACTCGTCCCCCTCCTTGCTGCCGTAGCGGCGGCCGCCCCTCTCCAGGCTGATGAGGTTGAGGTAGGAGTCCCCGGGGCCCAGGGCTGGCAGCGATCCGGGGGCCACGGGGCTGCCCAGGATGCTGGCAGGGGTGGAGGTGGAGGGCAGGTGGACGTCCAAGCTGTAGTGGTTCTTCAGGTTCAGGGAGAGGGACTGAGCCAGGGACAGGTTTTGCAAGGAGCGGTCAACTGGCGAGAGAGGGACAAGGGGTGCGTGAAGAGCTGGGGACCTTCAACCCAGCTGCTCCCCTGGACTGCGAGGGCTGCAGAGATGCTCCAAAGCCCCCCCAGAGCCTGCTGGTTTGGTACTGGGAAATGCCCCAGCTGCTCCCTGTGACTGCGAGGGGTGCAGAGATGCTCCAAAGCCCCCTCCCAGAGCCTGGCACGCTGGTGCTGGGAGCATCCCAGCTGCTCCCCAAGACTGCAAGGGATGTAGAGATGCTCCAAAGCCCCCCCAGAGCCTACTGGGATGGTACTGGCAGCATCCCAATTGCTCCCCATGACTGCAAGGGGTGCGGAGACGCTCTGAAGCCCCCCCACGCTTGCCGGGATGGCGCTGGGATCATTCCGGCTGCTCCCTGGGACCGCGAGGGGTCCAGAGATGGTCCAGAGGGATGATGCTGGAGCACCCCAGCACCCAAACAACCCCCGCCCCGCACCGGGGTGAAGCCGGGGGCGGCAGGTCCGCCGCCCCCGGCTTCACCCCGGTGCGGGGCTGGGGGGAGTGGGGACCACTGTTCTCACCCGGTTGCCGGTGTTGCTCCCGGGCTTCCAGCACCGTCAGCTGCCGCACCAGCAAGGAGACGTGCTGCAGCAGGTCCCGGTTGGTCAGGAGGAGCTGCCGTACCCGGGCCTGGGCTTCGATCCGCGCCGCCGTTTCGGCCGCCAGTTGGTCCTTCAGCAGCTGGACCTGCGCGGGGGGGGGGGG